TTTATGAAAAATCACTTAAAATAAGAGAAAAAGATCTGCCTCCGAATCATCCCGATTTGGCTAGCTCCTACAACAGCATCGGTCAAGTGTATAACGACATGGGTGACTACTCGAAAGCACTTGAATTTTACGAAAAATCACATAAAATCCTCGAAAAAGCTCTGCCTCCGAATCATCCTCATTTGGCTATTAGTCACTTGAATTTTGCAGCATGTTACGAAAGAATGGGTGATTACGCCGCAGCTCTTAAGGCTCTTCGAAGTGCTTTTCAAATTCAACAACAAGTATTTCAAGAAAGTAATCCAGCTTTTACTTCAACATATAGTTGGCTCGGAAGAGTTTATTGCAGTATGAAAGATTATCCAAAAGCACTTGAGAATTTCGAAAAGTGTCTCTCAATACGGCAAAAAGCCTTACCTGAAAATCATCCAAATATAGCTCTAACATATAGTAATATTGGTGACGTTTATCGATTAATGGGTGATTATGAAAAGGCACTTTCATTTCATCGAAAAGCATTAAATATTCAAGAAAATGTTCAATGTAATCCTCTAGAATGTGTAACGACGTATACAAATTTAGGTGAAACTTATCGGGAAATGAAAGATTATTCAACAGCATTGACATATTTTCAAAAAGGATTAGCAATACATCAAAAGAAATTACCAAAAAATCATCCTGATTTAGCTATAATTTTTCATAATATGGCAAAACTATATTTAGCTGTCCAACAATGTAGTATGGCAATGGAAAATGTCCAACAAGCGGTAGACATCGCTCAGAAGAAATTGCCTTCAAATCATCCTCATCTGTTGAACTACAGACAAACATTTAAAGAAGTGCAAAAGACCATGTAAGTTTATTTCTTTTTCTCTGACTGACGACATGGTAAATTCCTATGTCATGAAGTTTCAAGCTTCTGCACATCATTATCGAAAGAATGACACTAGATAAAAGAATATAACTGCGACGGCCCAGATTCATGATCTCGTATGTGTGGATCGAAAGTCATATTTAAACAACCAAATAAAGCCACACAAATCGCAGTCTACTGTTACGTTCATCGAGGAAATTCATTTCCACATGGTATTCTATATATAAATTATATCTATATCTTTTGGATTTGGGTTAGGTTGGGTCGGGAAATTCAGTTTCATACGATATTCTATATATCAATAACATCTGTATCATTTGTAGTTGGATGGAGCAGGTTGAGTAAGGGAATTCATTTTCATACGAAAACCTATATATAAATGTTATCTTTATCTTTTCTTTATCTTTTTGTTTGGGTTGAGTGGATTGGATCACATAAAACTCTAAATATAAATGATAGCTTTATCTTTTGCAGTTGGGTTGAGTTAGGAAATTCATTTTGACATGATATTCTATATATAAATGATATCTATATCTTTGGTAGTTGAGTTGGGTCAGAAAATTCATTCTCATATGAAACTATATCTAAATGATATGTTCATCTTTTGGAGTTGGATTGGGTCAGGAGTTCCATTTTCGCATGAAAATCTATATCCTAATGGCGTTTTTATCTTTACGGTTTGGTTTGGTTCGCTCATGAAATAAATTTTAATGTAAGAGTAAGATACCCAGGATTTCTACACTTTTGCATAGAGCTTTTTCTGAAAGGTTCCATTAGACATACAAGGGAACGGTCAATAAATCAATGTATTCTATGTCAATCTTCGGATTGCATTAATGTGTGTGAAGCGATTGGACTCAATTGGAATATATAGTTTTCTTTGTTATGTCTTGAAAAAAATCTTAATTCACTCTGTGATGAAACGGTATCTGCATCTGTCAAGTGAATGTAATCGCTAATGCATATGGGAAAATAATTAATACCGAAAGTTTTGTGGAACTCACATAGTTTTTTGAAGAAAATAGTAAGTCTAAGTTTTAAGTCGATGTTTTCCGGTTCCCAGTTTCTAATCTCCTCCCTCCCCACTTACGGACCACAGGAATCCCAAAGGGAGAAAAAGCGGTTCCTTGTTCCTGGTAGATTCTGGCAGCTCCTTATGGTTTCTCGTGGATCCTTATAAGTCTTATTAGATGTTTTCAAAAATATTCGCAAGACGGTATTGTTGTCTAATTTATCCCGGTTGTTCGTTCAAGTATTGTCTTGAGGCTTATGCCATCAAAGAAGGGCGGCTGTAAGTGTGAGTGTGGCTGTGGCAGTGCGGGTGTGAGTGAGAGGTATGAGTGTGCATACAAAGCAAACACCCATATCCACACCCATACTGACACCCACACGCCATACCCACATCCACACCCCACATTCACACTCACACCCTACCCTCGTCAGTTTTGTCTTTTGTATAGTTTTCTTCTGCGTAATTAAGGAAAAGAAATGGACAAAACACTAGAAATGTGGCAGAAAGGTACGGTTCACAAGAGCACTATACCACCATACCACCTCTGATCGAGAGAGATAGCAAAGCACTGTGCAGATTCTTTATCAAACTTATTATTTCACCCACTTATTATTTTTTAAATATTTTTCCAGTGGTGCACACACAAAAGATAATATTCCACATGATTTTTGGTTGCTTTCTGATAACTCAATTATCACTACTGAACAACAAACCAAGTCAGGTAAGTCGTCTTAGTAACCACTTCTTCTGACATTTTAATAAAACGTTCTGTGTAGAGCTTACGGAGTCGATACCACTATCCAACAACAGTGAAAATATAATTATCCATTGTCTCAATATTCCTCTCACTGATGAAAATCCATTTTCAATATATAAATGTGAAAGTTTCACAGATGAATTTGAATTCATTGCTCGTACATTATCTATCAAAGATAAAATATTATTTTTAATCATCTCAACAGCCGTAGTCAACTATGTAATTCCATTAATACACAAACATTTTTGTATCGAAAAAATTTTCGTGTTTGGTCGTTCGGATAGTGGATCTGCGGACAACTGGTCTTTAATATCTCCAAAAATTGGTAGACGTTGGGAAAAACTTCAAGAGTTACAGGGTGACGTTGTTCAAGACATCGAGACGACACTACGAGAATCACATTTGTGGAATAGATCTACGGAACTGTTTACTGAATTGTATACTCAATTGTTGAAGATTGATCAAAATCCTACCATCGATATTTCAACTGATGAACCATTAAACGAATGTATTGTAATTTTGCATTGTAGTCGTCCAATCCTGTTTCATTTAAATGACAAGTTAAATTATTGGAAACAGTTTAATGATATTGAAAGTGGTATTCAATTTATCAAGCAACAAAGTGACAAACATATATTTTTAATTATATCAGGAGGTATTATTCCCACTGTCATAGAATCGATCCTTGATGGAACACAAATTTATGCCGTCTACTATTTTCGTACTACTGAAAATAAATATCCGATTGATACAAGAAAAGTGAGCGGTTTGTTTGACAACGCTGAAAACCTTTCTTATCAACTATATCGTGACATAAAGTTTTTTCGAGAACAAAACTTTCACACAGCTCTTATTGATATGTTCTCGATGTTTGACGAAGAGCAAAAACTTATACCTCAGTTAAATGATAAACAAGTTGCATTTCTCTCATTCAATCTTTTCGCTGATATCCTACCATATGCACCATTATTACACTTTAGAATGGTTGACATCACAAGCAGAAGTAAAATATTATTTTATAAATTTGCAAATAAAGAAAATATCGGATTATACCTTCAAAAACTATATGAGAATAGGGATGAAGCCAATCAATTTGAGCGAAATTCGGATTTTCTGAAAATTGTCTCAAGAATTTATCGGTTGCATAAGCAAAATGATCTGTTTATATTACAAAAACAACTTGTTGACATTCAGAAACGCGTATTGAAATCATCTGCAATCGTTGAATCGATCACTGTATACTTATCTAAGATTATTACAAGCAATACACTGGAAATGATGCAATGCGGCTGTGGGCAATTCATTAGCATCAACTTTTTGATTCTTGCTACAAAGTCTCTTCTCACGGCACGCTCTATCGCTCGACAAGCTGCAAATAACCGTCTTATATCTGTCCTTTTCGAAATCCAAGTTGATCAAGGCACACATTTGCTAGATATTGACGCTGTTCGAGTTATATTTCGTCTTGGTGGCATATTTCGTCTGGAATCAATCAATCAAGCACCAGATGGTGTTTGGTATGTGAAAATAAGTAATGCTGATACTGACTTTCAACGTATAAAAGATCAACTTCAGTATGAAATTGACATGAAATTATCATGGCTAACTTATGGCAATTATTTGCACTTTATGAAGAAATACAAACAAGGCAAGACATACTTCGAGTATTTACTCAACAGACTTCCATCAAAAAGCATTTATTGCGCTTCTGTTTATAATAATATGGGATTAATGTATATTAAGAAGTATGAAGAGGCTGAGGAAGATTACGAATACAATGAAAAAGAAGATTATCAAAATGCAGCAATGGAGGCGATGGAAAAAGCCTTAGAAATTGTCAAATCAATCGACTCTAATTCAACCACAAACGAGAGTAAAGATCAACCATACACTCAACCCTCAACAATTAACATAATGCCATCAAATGCTACTGTCGATCGTTCCACAGCGCTAGGCAACGTTGCCGACGACTATTATGAGAAAAGCAACTATGAATTAGCCATGCAATATTACAAAAAAGCAGTAGAATCATCTAGTGATGAACGATATCATCATTACTATCAAAAGATGATTTTAACTATCAAAAAATGTTTAGAGAAAACTGTGATTGATGTCCCAAAAAACTAAGCTCCTTTTTTATGAATTTTTTCAACCATTTTAGAATTTTTAAAACTTGTTTTAGATCATTTTTTAACATATTTATATCAATGGTTATATCAAGTTGTAAACAATCGTTTATCGGTATTTGGTTTCATGATAAAACTTTATCAGATGATCAACAAGACAAAATAAAACTTTATTTGAATCGCACGTTTTATTATTATCAGGTTTTCACAGACGAGATCAAGTTTGCTCAATATATTACTAAAAAAACACTTGTTGCCAAAGTATTCCTTATTATCTCGCATGTAAAATTACATAATTCAACAATGCAGCTGGTGGAAACACACAAAATATTCTTTCCAAAAATCTATGTTTTCTTGCCGGGTGAAATTCAAACTACGCTGTCTTCCGCAATCTCAGATGTAAACGAATTATTTGAAACTCTGTCTAGAGATATACTTCAGTATGCCACTGAAAAAAACCCATCAAGTATCGTTACAAACCAGACTCATTTAGAATCTGATTCCACCAACACTTGTTACTTCAGTCGTGTTCTGCCATCGATAAGTGTGTTCAATCCAAGATACCAAAAAATCATCCCAATTCGTCATTTACCTAAAGAATCGCTGAATTTCTTGCGCTTCCTAACAATGACAGATATTCTGTGTCGAATATCATCTTACAGTTCCAAAGAGTTACGAGAAATGTGGACGACCTGTCGTACTTATTGTGAAGAAAATCAAATTCAACATGATTATATTGACGAATTAGAAAGAACTTATGAAGCATGCGAAGCAATTAAATATTATACAGGGGGTTCATGCCTCTCTCGTTCTGTTAATCAAGCTTGTCATACTGAAAATATGAAACAAATATTCACATTTAGAGTTTATATGAGCGACGTGCATAAAAACTTAGGAAAGCTTGAGAAACTACAAGAAAAAGATGACATTAAGTCAAGCATCAAAATGGTATATCGGGGTAAACCACTATCAGGCAGTGTTTTACAGCAATTGATTGATAATGAAGGTAGTTTGATCTCAATGAATGGTTTTCTTTCAACAACAATATTCATGGAGGTGGCTTCTTGCTATCACGGTGATGATCAAGTTAGCAAAGTTAAGGTGGAATACAAACCAGTTTTATTCGTATTCGAAATAGATACGAGGATAAAACAACCATACGCATATATCGCTGATCACAGTATGAAACCACACGAAGCAGAAGTTCTATTTTCACTTGGAACTATTTGGCGTATTAAATCCATTAAACTTAATGAAGACCCCTGCACAATTGAACTAATACCGTGTAACGAATCAGAATCACAGTTCGATGAACTGCGTAAAAAATACACTAGAAATGGATGTAATCTTTCATCAGTAGGTGATATATCACTTGAACTTGGAGATCATGATGAAGCTGAATGGTTCTATCAGAAAATGCTTAATCCTTTCATGAGTGGTGGTACATATATGCACCGCTTTTTTTCTTTCTGTTCTTGGCTACCTCTCCTCACCCTCATCTATCCAAAATTCGCCCGTGAAAGGGTTAAACAAGATTTTCTTGATAATAAAACTCGTGGCATCTTATATTACAAAATTGGAATGATACGATTTGATAAAAAAGATTATTCTACTGCGCTCCATTACTTTGAAAAAGCTGCATCCTTAATTCTATCAGCCCTGAATGAATCAAAAAGGATCAGAACACCTCGATCTCTCTATGTGTATGATAATCAATCACCTTTAATCACGAGCTATAACAATATGGGCTTAATATATGAAAAAGATGGTGATTATGACAAAGCACTTCATTATTATGAACAAGCATTGAATGTGAAGAGTGCATCAAAATCAGAAATAGTGACAGTGCATAATAATTTGGGTTTTCTTTATTATCGTCGTGGTAATTGTAAGAAAGCAAGAGAACATCATAAAAAAGCTTTTGAACTTGTTGATGAAAGTCATCCTAACTGGGTAGAGTTTAAGAGAAATTTAGATCGCGCTGAAAAACGTTGTCAACATCTTGCACAAAAGAAACAAAATGAGCAACAGCAAAGAACAACTATCGACGAACTAACTCGGCGGATATTTCATCCTTTTTACATTATTCTTGTTATCGTGACTTTAATAATATTTTTATCAACTATATTTTTAATTCTTTGAGATGAAACTCTTATATTTATGGTTCTAAAATTTAGATACAAAATAAAGCTTTTGAAGATACTGAACCATTTTTTCTATGTTTGTTTTTTCTTCTGTCTTCAAGTACATTAGTTGTACTTTCAATATGTATTTGAGTGCAACAGTTTGATCATTAATAGTGTTAACATAATAATTTATATTTTCGATGAAGACTAGGTCCACCAACAATGGATTTATTTGCAATCAATTTTCTTGACAACGTTTGATAATTTTTGAATTTCGATTAATAAGATCAATAATTTGATTATTGAAATACATTTTTGAGATATCTATCAGACATACAACAGAAATAGATAAAATGAATTTTGACTTCTACTAAGGTTTTCATTCATGGGTACGAATGCCATTAGTGTGATCTGGATGTGGGTGTGTGGGTGTGGATGTGGGCGATTTCCATGCTTCAACTCACGCCCACACCCGCACCTCATAAAGTTCATAGCAAGCATTTGATAATGTCAGTGGGTTCACATTACATTGACACCGCATCATAGA